CCTGGCACAGGTTGCCCAGAGAAGCTGTGGCTGCCCCATCCCTGGAAGTGTTTGAGGCCAGGTCGAAAGGGGCTTGGGGGAACTTGGTCTACTGGAAGGTGTCCCTTCCTATGGCAGGAGAGTGGGACTGGATGACCTTTAAAAGGTCCCTTCCAAGCCATTCCAGGATTCTTCAGCAGTCTACCTAAATGTGGATTGTTCTTGAACAGAGCAGGTAACTGTTCTCTGAAGACCATGGAGATCAAACTCTTCACAGATCTTACAGCCCTTCATTCTGATTTCCACTCATTTCTATGACTCTTCTGGGGTAAATAAACAAAACCATTGTGCTTTATTTTTGATAAAATCAAGTAGGAAAGCATTTGAAACACAGGTGGGCTCTGCTACAATATCTGACAGCTTCCCTACCATGTAATATTGTAAATATTGCACTAATAAATAGTTTATATTGCACCACAAAAAATCTTTGTCTTTCAGTCAGCACTGTGTTGAGAGGGAAAGTACCTGTTAGTAAGGCTGTCTTCAATGAATAATTGGTCTTCTTTTGTTTTGTTTTTGCTTTAAGAAAGCAGAGTTCCATGAGATACTATTGCTGAGACATCGTGAAGGTGTTACCAGGCTACAGTGGGACTACAGGAAACTTTATATTCCTGTTTTAATGCGGATTTTGGATACATTCTCCTCATTAACTTGAAGTTCTTGTCTGTGTCCCTGAAGTTTTACTCCACCTGTGATAAATGATTGTTATCCCAGAACATTGGAACTACAGTTACCAAGGGGATTCAGGTGCTGAATTCCAGCATGTGAGTACCACTGCCATTGGCTGAATTGCCATTTTATCTTCTAGTGTCTAAACACCCAAGGCTACTTAATTAAAAATTAATGCCTTCCCCTTGGTCGCAGATGTGGTCACTGGAGTCTGGTAACAGGAGGGAGCCAGGAAGTGCAGCTCACAGGGAAGTCCAGGCTTACTGTGGTATATTCATAGTACAGGTGTTTCCTGCCTGTCTGAGGTACAGGGAGATGTAGGAGTGGCAGTGCCAGGTGAGCCTGTGGTGTGGGCAGAGCTCTGAGCAGTGGGTTGGCTCCCGAGAGTCCAAATGCTGGTTGTGGGGCATTTGAGAGAGAAGGGCACCCAATTCCAGCTGTGACCTCCCCTGGATCCTGGCCCCTCACAGCATGACAGCCAAGGTCCTCTGTGACCCCCATCCCAGACTGAGAGTAGCTGGGCTGGAACACCAACATGTTCTCACAGTGACTTTAGTTGCTGCCAAGGGAATTGGTTCTTCTGCAATAGTTGGTTGTGCCACCTGCAGCAACCAGTCACCTACCTGTCGCCAGCAGAGCTGTGTCACTCGGGCTCTGGGCAGAAGTACATGTTCCACCTGAGCAAGAGAAAATCCTAAACATCTAAATAAGTACAGCAAAATTCTAAATTGCTAATGTAACCTGTCACTGCAGAAATAAATTCCAAATTTGTCTGTTACAGAACGAGGCTGGAGCAGGTAGGTTTGGGAAGGGCTGGGGAGGTGTGGAATGATGTAAGAATTGCACAAACAGAGCTAGAATATATATGCACATACCTCTCTAGAGTAAAATAATCTGTATTGGCTGACAGAGAACAACTGTCGGCCACTGCAGTTCATTTTGGGACCCATCAATAACTCAATCTGATTGATTAATCAGAGCAGACAAAATAACTCATTGATGGCTGTGGACATGTATAAAAGATCATGGGCTGTATCTGAGATGGGTCACAATGTTCAGTTTTAAACTAAAAGAGGAGATATTTAGAAAAGATATTGTGAAGAAATTCTTCCCTGTGTGGGTGCTGAGTTCCTGGCACAGGTTGCCCAGAGAAGCTGTGGCTGCCCCATCCCTGGAAGTGTCCAAGGCCAGGCTGGATGGGGCTTGGAGCAACCTGGGCTAGTGGGAGGTGTCCCTGACCATGGCAGGGGGTGGGGCCAGATGGTCTTTAAGGTCTCTTCCCACACAAACCATCCTGTGATTTTGTGATAATATGAAATGGGTATAAGAAATCCATTTCTACTTTTTTCCCAATTTTGGCCCCTTTTCCCATCCTTTTTTTCCTCTTTTGTCCTCTCCTAATTTTATTGCTCAGTGTACCTCCTCATGTTACAACAAAGCTGCTCTTGATTCCTGCAGATTTTTACCACCATTTGTATTAAAATGGAAATCAGCCTTAATTTTTTTTTTCAGATCAGACAGTCACTCTGCACATCCAGTTCCCAAGGTTTTCAGCAAACAGTAAAATAATCATTAACTGTTATAAATATGTAAGTCCAGCCTGCTGCCCTGGGCGCTGGCATCCCAGGAAAAGTTCAAGTTTCAAAGACTCCACTAGTACCGTGGGCAGCCTATGCCAGGACTGGACAATCCTTTCCAGGGTTTTGGAAGGAATTTTCCAAATATCCAACCTAAACCTCCCCTGGCACAACTTGAGGCTGTTTCCTCAAGCCGAAAAGGCCTCCTAAAACCAGGCCCATCTCCATCAATAGCACTTCAATGTCCTTTTTATGGCCTTTTCAGCTGCTCCTTCAGCTGAGTCCTTAAAGCAAATAATTCCCTACACACAGGAGAACAAACCTCAAGCAAACCAGATCCCACAGGCTCAGGAACTGGCAAATACAAAAGCTGGGCCTGTGCCGCTGGACAAGACCGGAGTCACAGATTAGGGCAAAAAGTTG